CCTCTTCGGCTCATTTCTTGTTGGGGGGGGCGGGGGGGGTCAGGCAAAGCTGGTGCCTGAACAAGATGGCACGGACTGGCCAGGGGTAGGCGAAGGCTGGGAGCTGGCGGTGTGTTTCATCACACCGTGGCACTCCCGGTGTATCCGAACATGCCCAGGGGCTCTCCGGATCTCCCGCAGCTACACAAATGACTTCCCACTTTCATTCACGTAGAGACAGAGTTCTGCTGCTACGCGAACCGCTGTGCGTGCTGCAGACTCCAACCTGCCCCAGCTACTACATGAGAGGAAGTGGAGCAGCTTCTCATTTCCCACACAGCCACCTAGACAGATATAAAAAATAACTTATTCCAAAGCGACCAATGGCTCTGCGGCCCCTCCAGAGCTGTGATCATTAACAGTCTGGAACATGCAGCTGCTTGAAAGTCAAGGTGAAATTCACAACCACAAGGAAAGATCCCGAGTCCTCGGCATCGCCGCAGCCGACTCGGAAAACTCCGGGCTCAGCAACAGCCGGTGCCCAGGATCAGTAACCCGGCAGCTGCTCCGTGCAGAGACCAAAGCAGGGTTTTATCCTCTTCGGTTGGAAAACAAAGAGTCAGACTCAGAGAGAAATCTGTCACAGCGGGAAGTCAGAATTTATGTCACGCCTGAGAGAGTGCAGGGTTTGGGGACAAAACAGGCAGACCTTGGCACGGCTTTTTTCAGTTAAGTCGGCGTACTCACCACTGAGAGAGCGGCTCGGGGAGGAGTGCTGGCTGTTGGGTGTGCTCACCGTGGGTCCCACAATCGCCGAGCTGAACTCCTTCTCCAGAGAGGAATCCCCACTACCTTTGGGAGGAGGGAAACACGAGTGAGTGATGCCTGAAGCACGGCTTGTGGGTTTGCACTGGCTTCACCCCGCCAAGCCCTCTTCCCAGCACCTCTGCTTTGGAAAGGGGCTGCCGACGGGCCCTTCCTGGGGCTGGGGGACACGGCTTTTACCCCAACAGCACCGGCTGCCACGCACACCAGCACGGTATTAGACAGCTCAGCGCTTTCTGGACCACAGTCCTCCAGCTGTGACCTCCTCAGACGCCACAGCCCCGAGCCAGCCTCGTGCCGCCGGCAGCCGCACGCCTTGCTCTTCTCGCCGCC